TGAGGGATGAGGCAAAGGTGGGGAAGTGAAAACCTTGAGGTAGTGATAGGCAGGTGGAGATGAATACTAGGGAAGTAAAGTGCCAGGTCTCCGAGGAGTTAATCAGTAGGATCCCCTGGGAAACTGCTCTCAGGGAGGAGGGAGTACAACAGAGCTGGCAGATCTTTCAGGATGCTTTTCCTAGAAAGCAAGAGCTTCCGATCCCCAGGTGTAAGAAATCAGGCAAGGAAGGCAAGAGATTGGCCTGGCTGAGTCGGGACCTGCTGGTCAGGCTGAAGGGCAAGAGGAGATGCACAGGCAGCAGGAGCAGGGCCAGATATCCTGGGAAGGGTACTGGGACACTCAGGTTGTTCAGGGACAGGGAGAGGAAGGCAAGGTGCAGATGGAGCTGAATGTGGCAAGAGACACAGAGAATAACAAGGGCCTCTACAGGTGTGTCAGCATGAAAAGGAAGGGTCAAAGCAGGTGTAACACAATTGGCAGACTGGTAACAATGGATGAGAAGGTTGAGGAACCCTCTTTACATCTCCCATGAGTGGTGGAACTACAGGACAGGGATTGGAGAAGCAAAGTCCCTCACACTGTAAGAGAAAATCAAATTTGTGACCACCTGAGGAACCTGAATATACCTAAGACTATGGAACCTGATGAGATGCATCCCAGAGCCCAGAGGGAACTGGCTGATGAAGCTGCCAAGTCACTCTCCACAGTATCTGAAAGTCCTGGCAGTCAGGTGAAGCATTGGATGACTGGGAAAACTAAACCATTGAACCACCTCCACTCTGTGCCTGGGAACACCATGGGCTAGATCCTCCTAGAAACTATGCTGGGGCTCATGGAGGACAGGAGGGTGACTCAGGACAGCCAGCCCAGCTTCACCAAGGGTAAGCCCTGCCTGGCCAGCCCAGTGGCCTTCTAGGTTGGAGTGACTGCATGCATGGATGAGAGAAGGGCTCCAGGTGTCATTTGTCTGGACTTCTGTAAAGCCTTTGACACAATCCCCCACAACACCTTTCTAAACTGAAGAAAAACAGATTTGAAGGATGAAGTATTCAGCAGATGAGGAATTGGTTGGACAGTCACATTCAGAGGTCAGTGGTCAACAGCTCAATGTCCAAGAGGACATCAGTGGTGAGTGCTGTCCCTCAGGGGTCTGTACTGGGACCAGCAATGTGGAGTATCTTCACCAACACTGTAGACACTGGGATCACATCCCCTCAGCAGCTTTGCAGATGACACCAAACTGAGTGGTGAGGTTAACATGCCTCAGGGACAGTGACATCCACAGGGACAGGGACAAGCTTGAGAAGTGGGCCCAGAGGAACCTCATAAGGTTCAACAAGGCCAAATATGATGTGCTGCACCTGGGATGGGCAATCCCTGGGGTCTACAGGCTGGGGAATGAAGGGATTTAGAGCAGTCCTACCGACAACACCTTGAGAAAGAAATTTTTTATGAGGGTGGTGAAACGCTGGTTCAGGTTGCCCAGAGAGGTGGTGGCTGTCCCCTCCCTGGAAACATTCAAGGTCACGTCAGACAGGGCTCTGAGCAACCTGGTCTACTAGAAAATGTCCCTACTTCTTGCAGGGAAGTTGGACTAGATGGCCTTCAAAAGTTCCTTCCCTCCCAACGGCTCTATAAAGATCAAAAGGGAGGAGGGCAAATGGTTGGCTCAAGAGTCAGTGCCACACTGTGAGAGACCCAGGCTCTTTAACATCTCCCCAGCAGAGATTTTTGGAGGACATGGGATGACCACCAAAGCTGTCAACAACTGGAATGGTAGAAGGACTGAAAGAGAGCAACAAGGCAGCTGGAATTTGTGATTAACAGCGTTCTGAAACACCCAGCTGGGTATTCATGGATAAAACAGTCGATATGTTTCATGCCTGATCTTCATGCCCTATTGCACATTCCTCAAATGCAGTAAGTATTGCTATCCCATCCGGTACAAGGGGTTTTATTATGAGTCCCATATTCATAACATTAAGCGTAAGGAGCACAGTGCAGGCCAGGTGAAATGTGCTTTCAGCTGATGATTCTGGGTCAGAAAGAAGGTCTGTGCCACATCCCAGCCCTGGGCCTGACCTGTCTCTGTAAAAGCAGCAGCCAGAATATCCAAAAGAAGGGAGCTGCCAGACCTTCCTGCAGCACGTGGGGAGAATGCTGAAAAACTGGGATATGCCAACACCACAGCAGTGGTTGGAGCTTGTAGTACCTGATGAGCCTGTGAATGGAAAAGAGAGCTGCTGGGGAAGCAGGGAGAGCGTGGTGGCTGCAGGCCAGCCCAGAGCCCAGGGATGGAGGCCTACCACAGCTCTTGCCTCCAGAGTAAATCCTGAGCATCTTCTGGATGTCCCTCCTGGAGCCAGAGCAGGGGTGGGATGCTGCATGCCATGGGGCACCAGGGACCACTCTCATCCAGAGCAACTCACTCCAGGCAACGCCAGCATTTATTCCATGAGGAAATGAACTTACATGATGTTTTTTATAATCGCTATTTTTTTTTTTAGAGTTTGTCCTTTCATCTGTTAAATAAAACATAATGCAACTACTGAGCTGTTCTCTCTGGGACTGCAGAGCCGAGCTAAGCTGCACCCTAAGATCTGTAAGAGCTGAAAACACAAATCTAAACTAACACTCTACATCTCCATTTTGATTTTAAGTGATCGCTCTGCTTTTCTACTAAATTAACTTAATTCTGCTGCTCTGCCTGGCGTGTGGGTGGAAAAAAACTGACTTGGGAGGAAACCTGAGCCCAGTCCTGCCCTCTGTGTGACACCACGTCTACACCTGTGGCTGTATCAGCAACGTGATCTGTCCACTGCTAGAAAGGCTCCTCTTCCTCACCGCCTGCTATTGCACAAGGTGTCCAAGCCTCACATCCCTCTGCTCCCAGATGCTCCCAGGGCTCTTGCATATCAAGGTTTTTCATGAGAAATCAGCAGCAAAACGCACAGGCTCTCAGTTGCACAAGGAAAATAGATCTTTGTTGGGCTCGTTATTCTCATGGAGGGCGAGGGTGTGGTGAGCAGGGTTACAAATAAGGCCTTTTGAGAATACATTTAATGTTCAATACTTAACGCTGTCTTAATAAAGTCCAGTCATGGTCTGGCCCTGATTGGTGAGATCACAAATAGCTCCATTGGTTGTATGTGTTGCATGAACTGAATCAAAGAAAAAGTTCAGAGTTGTATTTTAAATTTATGACTCTGCTTATGAAAGTTCAAACTATATTGGCATCGCAAGGTTTAGACATGGAGGAAACACCAAAGCTATGATGGGAGAGCGCTTCTGACAGGCTCTGCATCGAAAATGCTTAAGAAACTATTCAAAGAAAAAGTAAATAGCACTCAATGTATGAAATGTATTAGTTCTGTTTTTATACCTATTTCAGAATTTATCCCAGGTTCTTATAAAATATATAAAACTGAGATACAAAGAATTAGCAATGTAACTTTGCATTTCAAATGATCTTCAGCTACAGGTTTTGCTTTAAGAAAACAGACACTTGAAAAGCAGCTGTTTTGTAGTCTCTAGATGCAGACACTTGAGTTCCTGGCAAACTTACCGTCAGTGGTTTTCTGAACTCCTCCACCATTGCAACTCTCTCCTATAATGAAACTCAACATTTCACCATTAAGTTTTTCTGTTCGTGGTTTCAAAGAGAGGACATTACCATTTCCCAGCATTGGTTTCAAAGTTCCTTTTTTTCTTTTCTTTTTCCCCCCTTTTTGTTTCCTTTTTTTTTTTTTCCTTCCCTTTATGAGCTTTAAACCACAGGGTGAATCCATGAAATGAGGTAAGTAAATTTGGCACACTTCTAGTCATGTCCATAAAACTTTTGGTAAGTTGTATCAGTGAACAATATAGTATTTCATCGTGAGTTACAGGTGCTTTCGAAGGGGGGTGGTTAGTACTTAACAACTGGAATGTTTCTAGTAAAACCAAAAGGCATAGCTGCAGAAAACACTCACAACCCAATGTTGATAGAGAAGTAAAAATATATACAATACAGTCACTTGTTCATAGTTTGGCACAATTTTTTGTTGTTGTGGGTAATAGTGCATAAACTACTGTACAACAGTATGACTTTTAAAACAGTCTTTCACAGAGAATACCAGATTAGGTTTGCTTTCAAATAATAAAATTCCCACAATTTCAAACTCTTCATTTCAGCACTTACATTTCAACAGACCACAAGGCAGATTTCAAAAAGGAACTGATGGGGGAAAAAAAGAAAAAACAACCGGAAAAAAAAAGGTAAGAAAAGAACCAAACATCAACCGTCTTTCTAGAAAAGGGAGTCTCTTCTTCAAATACAGGAAAACCCAAAAATGCTGTTTCTGCTTTAAGAAGAATGGAGTCTGATTCCCTGCAGGAAAAAATCAAACATTTGATGCCATCTAAGTTAGCTCGTCTGGAGTCACCACGACAGAGCGAACGCGCTACAGGCGGGCGGGTAGAGAAGATGCAGCTTTAGATGATGCAGGTTAGGAGACACAACAGCAGAGGGGGCCAGAAAGCACTCAAAAATTGCCACGTGAAGCTCAATTAGGAACGAGTTCTCATTTGCAAAGTAAAGAGCCTTTGAGATCTTGGCTTTTGGATGCAGAACCTCTTTTTTTTTTTTTTTTGTGGTTTATTTTTTAAAAAATTTTCCAAAAAAAAAAAAAGTCTTTCCTCGTCAAAATCATTAAAAAGAGCATGTAATCTTTTTTTTTTTTTAGTTTTTGTTTTTGTTTTTCCCCCAATAAATAAGTAATTAAAAACTGAAGAAGCCAAACAGCAGAAAAGAGTAGCCTTGTTAGTTTTTTAACCCCAGCCAAGCCAGAAAATTGGTCATTCTTTTAGGTAGCTTGCAATTCATAAGTATTTTCATGCATTTAAAAATAATAATTAAAAAAACCAAACAAACAAAAAAAAGAAACCAACCCCAAAACCAAAATCAACCAAAACGGTAAAAGGGGAATGTCTTTTTTTTTTTTTTTTTTTCATGCAAACTTTTGCTTTCAGGAAGGAAAAAACTGAGGAACAGCAGGCCTAGCAGGTGGGAGGGAGGTTAGGGGCATTCCAGCCAGTTTGGTGCAGCATTACCTCAGTTTCTCAAAAGCAGCTGTCATGGGTGGGTCCTTGTGGGGCTGTTCACGGTCCGTCCGCTTGATTTTACAGTTCTCATCCCTCAGCGATTTCGAACTGGATTTATGACGGTAGAGTTTTTTATGGGTAGGTCCATTATTGCCTAAAGTGCTCAGGTTACTATAGTTTTTATCAAAAAAGGGAGCGTGAATGTCCGTGGTGAACCCGGTGGAGCAGTTGGGGCGACCGGGGTCGCAGGTCACAGCTTTGCTGTTTTTGCTTGAGCCCTTGTTGTTTGACTTGTGGTTCTTCACCGCCCCCGGCGAGCCACCGTTCGCCTTCTTCTTCGACTCTTGGGATGTCCCTGCCAAAATCTTAAGAGTTTTCAGTTTCAGGCTGTTGGACTCCGGTGACCGGAATATGTCTGGAACGCTGTTGTGGCTGACGGGCCCCCACAAGGGCTCAATGGAGGCCATCATAAACCTCTGGACATCGGCCATTCCCGACGCAATGTTGGACAGGATGTTGGAAGGTTCCTCGAACTCCCTCTGGTCATCGTCCAGGAGGCTGGTGGCGTTGCCCAGGCTGGCTTCCGACCAGCCCGTGCCCCCCTCTTTTCCCAGTGCCCACTCTCCAGAGAGCCCGTTGTGCTTGCCCAGCTTCACCCCTGCTGGGCCACAGTGCTGAGTGCCCTCGGCCACACCCTTGGTGGCCGTGGCCATAGTGCCCAGCTGAGTAACTGCCCTGCCACCAACAGCTGGAGCCTTCTCGCCGTTAACTCCTGCTGTATTTTTCCCTTTCCTGGTGGATTTGGGTGCCTGCCTGGAGTTTTTCCCTTGCGGCTTATCGGTTCCTTTGTTGGCTTTGGGTGATTTTTTCCGGGTGGCTTTCTGGGAAGAGCTTTGGTTTGTACCCACATTCTTGCTGGATGAACTTTTCCTCTTCGATTTTGACACTTTGCTATTGGTGCTAATTTGACCAGATGGCTCATTAAATGTTGACAAGCATGGACTCTTTTCGAGAAGGCTGACAGAATCTTCATCGTTGAACATATGGAACTGGAACTGGTGATTATTTAAAGCAAATCCATTATCTGCCTGATCCTCGGTCTGCAGGACCCCACAGTTCCACTTGACCTTCTCAGAACTGTTGAGGGAGGCCTGGGGGCTCTCCTGAAAGCCCTTCAGGGTGCCCAGAGGCTTGGCATCGGAGCCAGCTATCTGTGGGGACAGGTTGGGAGTGTCTGGAGGGGACATCTCCGAAAGCGACGACTGGCGGAACCTATCAGGCGTGAAGTTGGAAATGTCTAAAAGGTCCGTGGACTCCTTTAAAGGGGTGATTTCATCTATGCTCTGCTGGATCACTAGCTTGGGACTGCAATGGGCCAAGAAATCATCATTAATATCATCCTCGCCGTCCTTTTCACAAGATTTTAAACTTAAAGAACTGTAATTGCTAGAACTAACTGACAATGAACCCACTGAATCAAAACTAATGAGCCTGCCATCATCCGTACTGAGTGTACCTCGTTGGAAATGAAAGCGCCCCTCTCCATTATTGAAATGACATGACTGATAAGAATCATCAGACTGCACTTGTTGGCTATCCGGCATGTAATTTTTTTGGTATAGCAATTTGCCGCTATTCAGATTGACTTGAGTGTATCCAGAGGCGGGGAGGCCGTCCGCGCCCGGGGCAAACTCGCTCGGCATTCCGGCCGCCTCCGGCATGTCCCCGGGGAAGTCCTGGCGCTCGCTGCCCTTGCTGGCCGGCCACATGCTGCCGAAGCTGCCCTGCTCCATCTCCAAGTGGCCGGGCGACTGCTGCAGCTCCGACTCGGAGGGCGGGGAGAGCACGCAGCTCTGCGCCGGCTGCAGGGACGGGAAGGGCTTTTCCGGCGGGACGATGCTGGGGAGCGGGTGCTGCTGCTGCTGCTCGGGGGCGTGCTGGGCAAAATACGGGATAGCGGTGTTGCTCGACAGATCTGAAGCATCTAACAACGTCTGCAGATACCCTCCGGGGATCAGGGGTACATTGGTGGTGATATTAGCAGATGGCAGAGGCTTGTCTGAAGAGGAGGTGGATGGTAGGAAAGGAGAATTTTTAGCAACCTTATCCTCGTGGCACTCTGGGAGATGGGAGCTGTCTGAAGCACAGGGACTGTTTTCGTCCTTCAGACGCGCTGCGGAGTCCTGGTTTTCTAGTGCTGGGGACTCCTCTGCCGTACTGGTGGCAGCTTTAATCTTCTTGCACTTCAACCTGGCTTCACTTTTGAATTTGATTCTGCGGAGCACTTTCCGCTCTGTCCCCTTGTGCTCCCGCTCCTGCGGTTTGCATTTCACGGCGATGCCCGCGATGTCATGGACGTGTAATCCGTTGGCACAGCCGGGGGTGGCAATGGCTAATGCCGACAGCCCTTTCAGGCCCACGTCCTCCTTACTGCTGCAAGGCTGCTTGTGATCAGAGGAGCAAGAGCCCAGCTTGTTCACTGATTGCTCGATGGCTTTAATTCTTTGAATCCGGTGCCTGTTTGCTAGCTTGCATTTTCGCTTCCGTGGGTGAGGGAGGAACGAAGCATCTGAGCCGTTAAGATAGAAATTCTGCTTGTGATAGAGAGACGATCTGAGCAAATCCAGCCGGCTCTGCTGCCTCTCCTGCCAGAAGCCCTTCAGTGGGGCCAGCTTCTTGTATTTGCTGAGCAGCTCCTCATTCAGAGTAACAGTTGTCTCGTTGGCATCCACTTTGCTGAGCTTCACCAGCATATGCTTCTCCCCTTTAAACCTGTTAATGATGATGTACTTGATGATCACGGGGGGCTCCTTGCGAGAGACTTTTCGCCGTTTCTTGGGGCACCACTCGTCATCATCCTCCTCCTTGGGCCCATCCGGGAGCCACTCCTTCTTGTCCAGGATCTTCTCGTTCTCGATGGAGTCCACATCGTACAGGTAGTCGTCACTGTATCGCACTTTCCTCTTGGCCCGCAACCCGTAGTTCTGCTGGATGAAGGAGCCAGAGTGGTCCCGGGCCAGGTACCGGCTGCAGTCCTTGATGTCCCGCAGCACATCATAGGAGGACTCCGTGCAAGTGCTGTCATCACTGAACTCCCCGGAGTCCTCTGTGGAATTCACCGAGTCCAAGAAGTGGCTCCTCTTGGAGCCCACATACTGCACCATCTCTGTGCTGTTGCAAGATTTATTTAAGGCAGCTTTCTCCTCCTCGTCACCGTCCTCTTCCTCGCCGTCCTCCTCCTCCTCCCCCCAGATGATGCCTTCCTCGGATTTGAATTGAGAAGATTCGGTGGCACCACTGGGCCCCCTTTTCAGGGTGCTCCTGCTGTCCCTTTTGGTGCAGTTGCTGAACACGCTGGGGAAGAAGTTGAACTGGGCATCCTCTTGTAGGGTGGTGGTCTTCTCCCGCACATTGTCCTGGAAAGATTCGTATCTAATCTTTAGGGAGCAGACATCACTTCCCAAGGTGGAATCGTCATCATCGAACATGTAATTGTCCACGTCTTCCTCAGAAAACAGATTTACAGAAAGCTCATTTTTGGAGCAGAGGTCAAGCAGCTCAATTTTACTTTCACTAATGAAAGATTCAAAATAGCCCCATTCCTGGTTGGGATTTGTTAGTAAAGGTTCCTCACCATTGCATTTGTCTAATAGTAATCCCTCGTAATAATTTTTCTGAGTGGGGTCCTCTGAATCACTGTCAGATTTCTCTGCATCTCTTTTGTCCGCTGCCCTCGATTTATGCATAGGGAAGCTTAAAAGCTGGTCTGAAAGCAGTTGATCCCCATATCTCATGGTTTCTCCTGTGCTCATGCAGTGAATCCCTATATCAGAGACCGAACAGGTGTCATAATCCCTATTTATATCCCCCACTTTCAAGCTTATTCCCGGCTCCGCATCAATGCCGTCCTTGGATTCAATAAAGCAGCCCAGACAGGTCCGGCTCGGCTGCATCAGGCAGTCTCCCGTCAGCGCCGACATCCCCCCGGGCTCCATCATGGTGAAAGGAGCCTTCTCGCAGTCGCCCGGCAGCGACCAGGAGCTCATGCCCTTGGTCACGCAGGACGTGAGGGAGATGGCGTGGGCGGAGGAGTCGTCCGAGGCGTGCTCGGGGACATCGGTGAGGCGCAGCGGCGACGGCGGGCTCAGCAGGCAGGCCTTCTTGGCCGTCGGGGCGCGGTGGCACGCGGGGCCCTCCTTGGGAGCCGTGCTCAGCGCCGGGAACGGCGCCGCTGCCTCGGCGGCGCTGCACGGCCTCTCATCGCCGTCCAGGGCGTGCGACTCTGCGGGAATGGAGGAAAGGGAGAAGAAGAGAGAGGGGTTACCACCCTTGGAGGTGTAAAAAGAGAGAGGGTTACAAAGGTTACCGCCCTTGTAGGTCTCAGGCTCGCCACCCCTTTTCCCTGCTCCCAGCGACTTATCCCAAGTGCTCCTTTGGGAAGCCCTTCCCAGCATCCCTTCCCTCCTGGATCCATTAATGTGGTGATGTGCGTGGAAAGCAGAGGTAAACAGGCCGCTCCCTGCAGCCAGCTGGAAGAGGTACAAGAGTACGTTTAAAACACGCAACGCATCCGCTCTTCCCTCCTCATATCCATACGGTTACCTGGAAACTGCCTCTCAAACCTCACAATGTTATTAAAAAAACAAAACAAGCCTAATAAAAATGTTCTCATTAACATTGAAAAAATTAACAGGAAAGTGAGATTCTTAAAGAAACAAAGCACCCCCCGGCAGGGTCTGGGCTTGCACACACGTGAGCTGCTTTACTGCTCCGGACTCAGGGAGTGATGGCTGATTTTAAAAACCCAGTGGTCTTTTTGTCACTGTCCACACCAAGGGAAGGCAGACGATAACACAGAATTTAAAGCAATTATTGTTAGAATTATTGTGGGGTTTGCCATTCTTCCCTAATCGCTAAAAATGTCTTTTTAGTCATGTAAGGATTTTTTAACCTACGGATTTTTTTAGTTTTACCTCGTTGCACCTCTTTTATGGCAGAATAAAGTTATGAATGTACTTTTATCTGACTCCTGGCTCAACGGACGGTATGACCCTTGAAATTTAAATACTATGTCTTTTCATCCATGAACACGCTCTGATACCTCTGTACTAAAAAAAAATATATTCCAATGAGTGCATTCATCCCAGCCAGAGAGCTCTGCCGACTTGGAGCCTGGTGCTTTTGTCATGGCTCAGGTCTTTCCTTTTTGGTGGCTCCACTGAAGGCAGAGGGGTGAGAGCCAAAGCTTTCCAAGGAGGGACAAGTGCTTTAAAACACAACTAGAACACGAGGATGTGGCATTAAATGGGGCATGCAAAGGGATTTATTTGGCTGCTGCGACCCTACACAAGTGCTCTTATTCCAAACTGAGAGGAAAGTGAATCTCCTGCATCCTTGGCAGCCTGGGGAGGGGAGGCTGGTGCTGGCACAGGTACCACCAGCACCGTGGCAAACCCCCCAGGTGGGGAGGATGGAAAGGAACAGGATGCCATGGAAGGAGCAGGGTGCCTGCCTGTGCCAAGCAGGAGCTCAAAACCCCCTAATTTCACTCCCATAAGTTTTGTGCTACAGGGGCCTTAGGAGCCATCAGCGAAGTCTGAACAAAGCACAAACTGCAGCTGCAGTCTTGCAGCGCTCCCAGGACTTTAAACCTTCTCCCAGAGACTCCCTAACTCTAACCAGAAGTGCAATGCAAAGCCTGTCATCATCTTCAACATGAACAACTTGGGAAAGGCCAGACTGGCTTGCTTGAAAACAGTTAAAAAAGGAAATAAATAAAAGAGCTGATTTTTGAGTCCCTCCCACCAGTCTTCAGATCAGAAATGCAGAGGTGGTATCTTTTTCCTTAAGCACCAAAACAAATTAACCAGTGCAGTTCCACTTCAGAAGCAAAATAAAATAAAAATCAGCTTGGAGCTGACAGGAAGCATGGAAAATTTGAGGATAAAAGAAGAATGTCTGTGAATGCTGTAAGACTCAAAGAAGGGGGAGGCAGAAAGCTGAAATTCAATCTCAAAAGCTGCATTCAATAGGCAAAGCTGCTATTATATAAACTAAACCGTCTCTGGGCATTTCTTTAGGTTTATACTCGTGTGAGTGAACTTAACTCTTGTGAAATACAGATGGCAAAACCTGATGTTCTGGGGCTCCTAAAATCAGGCCTGCGTTCAAGTGATGTTCCAAGGGAATACAGTTCACACAGAAAATGCTGGAGAAACAAAACCACTTTTCCCAGTTTCCCTCAGCACATGGGCAAGGGGAGGTGGCAACTCCAGAGCTTCGTGCTGGCTCCTGGCCTTGGATTCAGCAGCAACTCCCACACAGCAGTGTTCAAACTGAAAGTTTCAACTGACAGGGGAGGCTGGGATGGGATTTGGGGAAGGAATTCTTAGCTCAGAGGGTGGGGAGGCCCTGGCACAGGGTGCCCAGAGAAGCTGTGACTGCTCCTGGATCTCTGGAAGTACCCAAGGTTGGATGGAGCTTGGAACAACCTGGGATAGTGCAAGGTGTCCCTGCCCGTGGCAGGGGTGGCACTGGATGGGCTTCAAGGTCTGTTCTAACCTAAAGCACTCTACAGTGTAATGTCTAATTAAAGCACTTTTTAAGCCCTGTTTAATTGAATTCCATGTAAGTGGTATGAGGTTCTAAAAATCTCCTCCTTACTGATCAGGGCAGCACGGACTTTGTTGTCCACTGGATCAGACAAAGGGACCATGGCTATAAAATCCCTCTGCAGCTCCAGCAGCTGCAGCTTTACCCTGTGCAGTCAGGAAGGAGATGGGCTGGCAGGGACAGACACCTCCCAAATCACATCCCAGGGACAAGCGTGAGCATGTGCCTCACCTGCCACCAGCACGAGCTGTGGGGTCCTCATGGGTACCCACATGGCTGGAGCTGCTCCAAAGTTTTGGCAAAGAACAAGAACATTTGTCTCTACCACCTTGTTTAGAGCTGACAGAAAGATCTGAACATATGTCAGAGGACCGAGTCCTTGACATCTAACAGGATCAAATTTATATATAAATAAAATATCTCTATCTATATCTATCTATCTATCTCAAGATTTATGGGCCAATACAAAATGTAAAAAGCCATGAAATTAAGCATAAAACACATTGAAGAATGAAAGCATCATGCTCTGCCTCCCCTCTGCATTTTAAGTGGCCAGTGATTACAGTCCAAACAGCCTCAGAAAATGCTCAGAGGCTTATTTATTTCAATCAGGGTTTCAGACAGCTGAGTACTGTTACTCCTAATTAGTTATTCTGAAAGCAAATGTAGAATCGATGGAACAGATACAAAGTTGGGCATTCTGGGAGGCTGCTGCAAGGGGCTGATCCTTCCCTTCCCATGGTGGCTCCCAGGAACACTACCCATCTGTGGAGAAAAGGGATTACAGGATAGGGAATCCCACGTGCTGGGGGATGGGACACAGGCAAGAACAAGCTCACAAATCCAACCTTCCTTTCTCACTAATCCTGGTTTCTTTCTCCAATTTCCCCCCGGTTTGTAGGCACTAAGTATCCTTCAGCCAAATTTTTCTTATATTGGCTCATGGGATCATAATGCTCAGAGAGGGAAAGATTCCCAACAGATAGAGGGGCTACAAAGTCCTGGATGACTTTTTTCCCCCAAGAAACCAAACTAAAATCTCTAATTCAAATTGCATGTGCACAAAAACATTTCCAGCCATGCCCATGCATAGGTAAAAGCAGTTCTTGTTAAGGCCTAAAAAGGTGTAGATTTATGGCTGGAATGATTCCTGTGCAGAAAACGCCCATTTACTCCCCTGCTCCACACTGCAGATCCCCATAAACTGCTAATATTAAATGCATAAAAGGAATTAGGAAAATAAGTTGGCATCCAAGTTGTCGCTGCTCCCTCATGTACCATAATTAAGTTCCTTACCATTTTCTCTCACCCCATTAATCAGGATAGTTTCTTGGTCTTCTGAGGCACAATCCTGCTCTTGTTGGTCATCCATCAATTTAACCTCTTTCTGTTCACTCCATGCCCCACTGCATCTGGCCAACCTGCACATTTCCAGAAACACAACCACAGTCAGTGCAATCCCCAGGATCAGCTCAAGGAACCGTGAATAAAAAATAACAACAATAAAACACCCCCACACCCCCTCACACGCTGCCTGCATCCTCCTTAAGAGGACAAATCCAATTTATTTAGGCTCTCAGCTTGTCACTTTTCCACTCCAAAAGCCAAGTCCCATGTATTTTCAACAAGGTGAAAATGTTGTGTATCAGCATTTCCTTCCCCAAAATCCTGCTCTGGGAGCTGGAGAGGTGCTCAGCACTTCTGCAGGACCCTCCACATCACCCAAAATTGCTGTGCAAAGGCACACTAGTCATGTCCAGCCAGGAAAGCCCATCCATCTCCAGATGGATCAGTGGAGAGATGAAGGAGAGGATTCATCCCAGCAACTTTACGATGGAGCTGGAAAAAAACCACAGATGTGTAGTGACAGCTGCTCACCCTCGCTATCAGCCACTGCCCTTCCAAGCACTGGCAGGTACGAAAAACTTCCCCAAAAAAGCAGTTTGTTGTGGAAAGTATCTCCAGTCTCACTGTTCACCATGAGAGCTCCATCCTTGGAAGCCTCATTCCCCACACCCCTACAACTGCCCCCACTGTCACCACGGGTGAAGCTCCAGCCCCAGGGAGTGATGAAGAGTCCAGGATGACTGGAATTGGTGGGGCTTCTCCAGAGCAAAGGACCTGAGATGAGGATCCAGCCCAGATCTTCTCATTCCTCCACTGAGGTCCCCCCACCCTTCAAAGCCACCACCTGCCTGCGGACAACAGGGTGAAGTGGCTGAAACCTGGGCAAGGGTGGCACTGGAGAAGCCTCATCAGTGCTCTGACTGACAGACTTTCTGTCAATCAGGAGCAATTTAACTGCAAATTCAAGTCAAAATCTATTTTATACCCTTCTGGCAACTCAAACTCAATTTTTTCTCTCTCACAGAACTGGTACTAGATTGCAGCATTGGTTTAGGTGTTTTTCTGGGTTTGGTTTTTTTTTTTTGTTTGGCTTTTTACTTTTCACATCAACATTTGTCAGTGTCTGCTGTTCCCACAGCACTCATTGCCCTGGGGTTCAGCAGCCAAACTTCATTCATATTCAGATTTGCAGTGGAGTCCTCTTAATTAACGTGAAATCTTTACAACCGCCTTAGTAAGTGAAACCTTCACCCAACTTAAAGATGTTGTGACACCGAGAGGAAGATAAGAATAACAAGCATCAGTAACTCCATTCCTTTGCATATTTAGAGGAATATTTAACTAACCCCGAGAGTTTTCCTTTGATGCAAATCCCCATCTCAAAGCTCTCCAAGCCAGCCTGTTTGCTGTGGTTAGACCCCTCTCCTGCCAGCACCCTCCCCACAGCCTCAGCTCCCTCTGTGCCTTTCCTCATTGCTGACATGCTGGAGCAGGAGAGATTCCAAAAGCCAGAGCAGAGATCAGAGTTATTTTTCCATGAAGGAGATTAATGTCTGAGTGTGGAAGGTGCTCTGCATCTGCCACTGACAGGCTACAGCTTCGTGCCTCCTTGATAATATCTCCTGCCTGTTAAATGTGCCTTAATTAACAGAAGTATTAATAAATTAAGTTTTTAGAATATCTATTAATGGAAATATTAATAAAATATTTTCAGCCTCGGGAGAACCACCACTGGCTCCACACATGGGCCAGTGTGGCTGCTGGGGAGGGGGCTGAGGTGTCACCCAAACAGAATGGTTTGGGTGGGAAGGGACATTAAAGCCCATCCAGTGCCCCCCCCTGCCATGGGCAGGGACACCTTTCAGTGTCCCAGGCTGCTCCAAGCCCCATCCATGAGGAAGGAGTCCATCTTTCCTTGGTTCTGATGGAAGCTTGAGGGCCAACCTTGAGAGAGAGCAGGGAACAGGCAGGGGGCCAAGCCATGAGCACGCAGGCAGCCAAGCAAACAGGCACAAGGGGAGAGTGTACAGACCTTTAATCTCGTAGTACTAGGGATTTTTGGGATGTGTGTGTACAAGAGGGAGGGAAGCACACCAGGGATGTTCCTGTGGATGAGATCCAAAGGCTGGAGAAGACAATGAAATGCAACAACAAAGGGGATGTGCCTGGGGACAAGCCTTCTCCTCGACTGCAGTGACCTGAGAGCAGAGCTGAGCTCCAGAAACCAGCTGGGAACTGAGAAGGGCCCAGAAGGGGCAGACAGAGATGAAGTACAAGTGGGACAGACAACCCAAGTCTGCTGAGACCTGCTGAACAAGGGGACCTTTGGGACCAGTGTGACCAGGAAAGGTGAGACCCCAAAAGGGATGGGAAGAAACAGCAGCAACTGGGAAAGAAAAGCTGACAAAGGGGCCGGATGTGATGCAGAACAAGAAGGAACAGAAGGCTGGGGATAACAAAGAGGAGAAGAACAGCTGGGTCCCAGGCAAGAAAAAGAAAGCAGGAGAGGTCTAGGGGATGAGGGCAGTGTGCAGAGAATACAGGGGTAGCAGGAGAGCACAGAACACAGGAGTCATCTGCAGACTGAGGTATAAAAGGGAGAGAATATAGATTTCAGATGATGTCAGGCCACTGAAGAGAGGCACTGCTGGGGTCACGATATTATGAAGAGCTGGCAGGAAGAAAGTCAGGCACCAGCTCCAAGTTTATGAACTTGACTGGAGCCAGAGTGGATGGAGGAAGAGGATGGAGGGAGGAAGGCGACGGCAAAGACGTGGGGTCAGATGAACTGCAGCCTTTGGAGGAGGAGGACAGGAGCACAGCAGGGCTGGGCTGGCTGTGCTTCAAGGACAGGCACAGCACGTTCATCACTGGGAAGAACTCAGAAGCATTTCTGCTGATTGCACCATGGACTTGAGGGCATCGGCCTGCTCAGATCACAGCTGGCACCACAGAGAGTCACTGGCTAGCAAGGAGATGGAGGGGAGGAAGCAATAGGAAGCAAGCAGTGGAGCTCAATAATAATCCAACTAGTTTTAAGCACAAGATGGACAAATTAATGGGCAGAAGGCCAGGATGCAGAGCTGTGGCAGCAATACACAGGGCTCATTGACCTGGAGAAACCCCTTTCAGCCCTATGGCTCAGGTCAGGTGGAAGACTGCAACTGCCTCCAAAACCCCCAGCTGAGGAAATTCCCCATTCCTCACAATTCCTGTCAATTTTCCTATTTCTAGTGCTAACAGGGCCATACAAAACATGCTGTGGCCAGCCCACATGCACACATCTGGGAGAACACAAACACAGCACCACAATGGACCCTCTGCCACAAACCTCCTGCTGCCTTCAAGCAGGTCCTTCAGCCCAGGGGGCCAAAAAACCTGAAATACACTTTTATTCTCTATTAAAAAACCTCCTGAGACACTCCAGAGGTTTTATGGGTGTTGGTGCTGCTGGAGTGGAGGCAAACGTGGCTGGAAAATGATGTCCCAGCTGAGGCTGCACCAGCTCCCTCTGCTCCCAACACAGAGCAAGGTCCTGGTGGAATGTCCCTGCACCAGTTCCTTGGAGTAAAATCAGATTATTTCTTGTTCTAGAAATTCCTAGAATCGGAGAATCTCAGAAGGATCAGGGTTGGAAGGAACCCTTGGACGGAGAAGGAAACACCCAAATTGCAAATCTAAAAATCCTGGACATGTTCCCTCACTCACCTCCAGTGACATAAATGATGGATCTGTTGCTCACTTAAGCCCATCCAAACTCTAGGATTTAAGGATGTTCCTGTTAACACTGATTTTACAAAGACAAAAGGGAAAATGCCATCCTTTTAAACAACCGAAAAAAAAAAAAAAAAAAAAAAAAAAAAAAAAAAAAAACAAAAAAAAAAAAAAAAAAAAAAAAAAAAAAAGGCATCTGCTTAATGGCTGCCCTCTACAAAGAAAGCAACAAATTGCTTTGCTTCTTTGTCAGCCAGAAAATGCCCATTTTCTGTTGCAGCTTTTCTGAATGGGTTTTCACAAAGTGCACAGGTCCATCACTTCACTCTGCCAGAGGTGCCATGGGGAGATGACATCCCCTTCAGCCTCTCCTGCTCCAGAGATCCCCAGATGCCAACCCAAGGAGGAACTGTGCCAAGGGACCTGTTGGAGAGGTTTCCCCCTCTGAGGACTCCCTGAAGACTCTTCCTTGGGAAGCAGCAGTGATCTGGCTCCTGGCATTTCCCAGCAGAACCAGGGATGGTCACAGTGATGCCCTGGATGCACTTAGAGGGGATAAAACAAATGAGGTGGTCATGACTGCCACAGAATCCAGTGCTTGGCCACTTAAATCTATGTATCTATATCTCAATATAATCTATAAATACAAATATTTATCCACTGCTGGTTGAACATCACCTCATTCATATTTTCTGGGTACCACCATTACACCATGGAGCTCAATATTCTGCCCAGGCAGAGGAGGGAAAAGAATCTACCAGGTGAAAATAAGAACCAGCCCATGAGCCCATGACTGAAAGCCCAGCTGCACACGAGGGAATTCTGTGAGGTGGAAAAGGTTCTGAGCTGGTGGTGGCTGCTCGGGAATTAAAGTTTCAAGAGTGTTTCCCCTTCAAGCTGAATAAACAAAAAGTCACACACCCAGAAAAAACTCAACATGCCAGCTCCTATTTACACACAGCTTCCACAACCTGAGTGCTGGAGCTCAAGAGGGGAGATGGAGAGGGAGTATCCAAAGTGAAGGAGAATATTTTTAGGGAGAAGTGGGGGAAGAAAGTGAAGAAGAAGCTTTACCTTTTTTTCCTGCAGAATTGTGAATAAGTGCAGGTGTTCTATATATGCAGTTGTATCTTTCAAAAAAAGAGCTTTAGAGAAATTAATTACATGTCAGAGCCTCTGACAGGTCTTTTAAGAATTGTGATACTTTTGAATGAAAACATTATATACTTAAAAAGAAATACCATGTAAATGTCTCCGAGATATTTACAGTCAGTGGAGTAATAGTGGGAGAGGATTCAGCTCTCCCCGTGGATGGGGGATGCTCCATGCTCCTCCTAACCACATCTCCTGCCCAAGCAGG